ACGTGTTGTTTGAAACCCTGGATAAACAGACCGAATATATCACCGGAGCAAATGAGACCGCTTCTCACTGCGGACCCATAGACGTGGTCCTTAACATCAAGCCACAAATACGCTGCAGCCCACAGTGCGTAGTTTTCTGATGGAGGTGTTTGCAAGCTCTTGCAATCTGCTAACTACTCCACAAAGTCACACTTTCATTTTTAGCAAAGCTGCAGCCCATGTAGGTGATCTGATCAACCGTTACCAGTCCACATCATCAGGGCTCAGGTCGCTGCCGACTCAATGCCAGCAGATAGAAAAAGTAAACACCGCTGAAGCTCGCATTGGTCTTAAGGACAAAGCAAAACTATTTTGACTTAAGACTAAGGAAACACAGAGTCGCTGCAGATAGAAGTATTGGCTTTTCACAGAAACTCATGCTTGCGCTGACGAATCTGGTTGGCAACGTGTAGTGTCGAAGCTGCTGTTCAGCTGTACGAACAGGACAGGCTAATGGATCGAAAGCGCCGCAAGTGGAGCTCTAACGAAACAAACACGATTGCACGATGGGATGGGCAAAGTGCAATTTTCGCAGCCTGATATAAACACTATAACAATGTTTTAATATAGCTAAAAGCTTAGGTTTCAACAGCTCCCGGCAACTGATATAAATCATGGAGAAGGTGTCAGTACAAGTAAATTCGCATCAGTGGATTTGCTGCGAAATGGAATAAACTAAAACTGTAAATCCACTGTATATCCATAGGGAATGATAAAAAATGTGATGTCGTTGAAAACAAGTGCTTGTGTTACTTTTGTTGTACTATTGCATCTGATCGCCACTGTAGTCTCTAACGAGCACGTGTTCCTTCATAGGCAATAAGTCACGTGAGATGGTGCTTTTCCGGATAGCTGCTCGACATATATGAATTGTCGGCTGATTGCGACGAACAAAAATGCAGCGAAGTATATCCAAGGTCAAACTTGGATTGCCAATTCCCCTGCGTGTTTAAAAGCGGGCATCCCACGTTTAACAAACTAGCAAAACAACTTCATTGGCATTTCAGACGACAATATTACTCCGCCAGCATGAAATGGAGCCCCTCAGATTGCTGTAGTGATTGAGCTCTAGCAAATGGCGGCTAGTGCGGCTGGGGTCGGTCAAAATCTGTTAAGTCTAAATGAGATCCCTACACAGTAACCGATATCGTCCACTTACTACGCAAAGCACCCTCAGCGTTTGTTTTTGCGGTAAATAGTACAAGACTTCACTATGATTGGTTGCCCGGTTCGGAGTTATCTCTAAAGCGGTGAGATAAGCCCTCAGCCACCGCCGCCACAACTGTATCACATTTTCCACCTGTGGACGCGTGTATGAGTCGAGAACGTATTGAAAGATTGACAGGTCGAAGCTCCCAAATGCACACCGTTGAACGCCCATGTTTCATTGTCCCTTCATGATTCCTTTAAACCTAATCCGAACAATCAAGGTGGGCATGAATAAAAGCTACCAGATACTTTGTGTCGGGAACGTCTGATGCTCTTGGCTTCTCTTTTAATATCAGTACGCTGGTTGTATATTATAGATGGTTTTTCAGCCGTCGCAACTATAATGTATCCAGCAGGATTTAGTGACCGTTTTTATGGTAACTCACGGTTCAACCGTAATCCATTACCAGCTTGATAAGTATCGTTGTACCTTTTCTTTAGCTATTGTGTCTTTCCTCCTTAATTGTCTGTCGGTTATGGTGCGATATTCCGGGATAGTCCTCATTATGAGATTGAATACTCCAAACCTTATTTCATGTAATTAGAACGTTCCAGTAATCTTTCTGTACAGTTGTCTAGCTTTTGCTGGTTTTTATAGGATATGTTCAGGGGAGGTGGATAGTTTTTGTGTATCTAATTCGCTAATCCTTGAATGAATCGGATTTTTTGATCATGGTCCCTAAACGTTTGATTGAGCATTCCGGTATTCGGTATTTGTACCTGAATATCTGAGATTTTCTTGAGCGAAAGTTCATAGACAGGTTTCCTCCTGATGCGTTCATCACGGTAAGGTCGTCACGTTTGCCCTGACGTAATGGTCAATGAGTAGACTAGTTTAAATCATCTACCAAAAGTGGGCATCCATGTTTTACGAGATCACATACATTGTTTCTGTAGATTAAGAAAAGTACCGGCCAAAGCGCACGTCCCTGGAAGACGGAACTGGTTATTCGTTCCGATGTGGATTACGTCTGCCACGTCTAGACTCTTTGGGTCCGAGCGTTTAGATATGAGTCTAACCACATTTGCAGCAGTTTTGCAATATCGTATGATTGCAACACAACTTACAGTGGCTTGTGTGGCAAGCATTCGAAGAACTTTTGCATGTCCGTGACAATTATACTTACCACAATTCCTCTGTTCATCACCATTGCAACATGGTCAAAGAATTGTAGCTGGCAAGTAACCTAGGTGCGCCTTAAAAGAAAGCGATTCTGTGATTGGTTGATCAGTTCAATCGTGTCAGAAAGCGAACAACATTGCTCCTGACTAACCATTGCAGGACTTTATAGGCTACAGAGGTATGGTTTAAAAGGTGGTAGCTTGACATTTTATTTTGTGGGCCCCTATGTGTTCCGGCGTTATGCTAGAATGCTTCCACTGAGGTGGGTAGGGGCTGGTGCAGATATTTAGCTACAAGATATCAATATTTTCACCACCGAAACTTATGACAGCTGGGGGAGCAGCATCTGGGCCGGGATAGTCCCGGAGAGTTTACGCATGTGCTGGCGTTCTGCACCTATATTCAAGTAACCAGCACACTACAGAGCAGCTCGTCCGTTCATCTGGGGAGTGGGGGTCAGGACTTGTGAGTGACAAATGAGGAGACTAAGCTGGAAATGAGTGACGCGCATAAACAGGATGTGTGCAACATTGATGATGCATCTTGTGATGCCAATGTTTCGATTGTTGGATGCGGTTTGGGGTCCTAAGTATCCATGTTAGTGCCCTAGATTTTTCAGGATTTTTAAGCGCTGTAATTTCGTCAACCAATTTGGCACTGCGCTTCAGCCGTTATAGCTTTGATTATGCTTAATGTATATGTGGTGGAGTAACGAAAATGTTGGCCCTGTGATAGGATGTCCTAACTTTCTCCATTTTGCTTTTCGCCTTGTTCATTTGTGTATGCTTGTCGCATCGCTTCTAGTTGCGGCTCCTTACTACAGGTGTCAGTACATCAGTACATGCAGGTAGGTTGCTGGCAAATTCACCGGCAGCCATAGTCGGGTTTTTCATTCAGAATGATGGATCACAATTTATAGGGCAGCTAAGTTCCTTAAATGCATTCCAGACAATTCGCTGAATGTTCCGAGTGGGTTGTAAGTTTGTACTGAAGTGGATTACTTGGTTAAATGTTCACGAAACAAAACGCCGTGTTGTGATCGCAACCCAGTAGTGGACTGCCAATGAGTGCACAAGTGGAATGCATCCTCATGGTGAATACTAAATCTAAGGTATTGACATTCGAGATGGGCCCTCTGACAGATGTGATGCAGCAATTGCAGTGTATAGAGTACACCATTTCGTCTTGTTTCGTTTATACCCTTGGTCTAGGCAGTAACCAGTTAACTTGTGGCGCGTTAACATCTGCACACATAACTTTGAACTTGTGAGTAATGTCAGAAACTGTGTTCATAGCATCCATCAGCTGCAAGTTTTCATGGTACGTTGCTCGAAAAGGTCCGTAGATACAACCAACTACAAGAAATCAACACATTGTGCCATATTTCGCAATCGAAAGTGTGCACCTCAGTGAAATAATTTACGCATATCGAGATATATGCTTACAACGGACTTTTCATCCTCAACAGATATTGTTGTGTGTTTAAGAACGTACAACTGATAAGTCGCACCTGACCAGGGGTGAGGAAAACCATTATGGTTCTGGTTACTAATACATCCGGGAAAGGTAGTTGGTTTTCCTTTCAAATTTCCATCGTAAACCGGATGTCTTCAATGACGTTGTTCAATAACTGCTGTGCGACTGTAACTTGATTACGTTTGATGATCACAAAAGTGCCGTCAACATATCGGACAAACAGTTTCGGATCTAATGAGTGGGAGTACATCTCCCTCCAATTCCTGCATTACCATCTCCGCGATGTGTCCCGATATAGATGATCCCATTGGCGCGCATTTCAGTTGCTCGTAAGTCTTCCTGCTGAAGGAGACGAAGGTTGACAGACACACAGATTACACTCCACATCTCGACACATTGATGATGCCGCCTCGCATGGCGGTGAAACCTTTCCAAAGAATTTTCCTGCTCGGCGAACAAACGAGCAGCTGAATTATCAACCCGAGCTACCAGTTTTCCGAAAGAGTTGTAGTTTGTTCACCATGCGCTAAACCAACCTTGATGCATTCACCGGGCGAGTGCAAGCTTGGTCATCTTGCACTGACGCTGACTTAGTTTTCTGTACACAGGCTGTGTCTCAGTTTCACTTCCGTAGTCTATGAACCGCCGTCACTTACCTCCTGGTAGGGGTTTAAAAATTCCAGCGAGTAAAGTTTAATCGCCAAGTGGTGTTTTTTCAAAGTGGAAGGAAATAAGCACAAATGGTGGATTATCCCATTGGTCAGGCATGAGTCAGAAATTCGATGACAATTATTTCAGTAGACCAGCAAAGTTTATGTGAGGTACACTTTAACATTACCATTGCTCTGGTGCTCAGTGATTCAACCACATTTTTACAGGAACCGCGTACTTGGTTTGTCAACTGGCATCGAGAATATGGGGCGCATCCAGTGGCATCTGGCACTCTGCTTACTTCTCGCCTGGGTTATAGTATTTCTCTGTGTATTCAGGGGAATCAAAGCATCTGGTAAGGTAAGTCGTGCTTGTATTTTGGACCCTCCACATCAAGTGCCTATAAACCTAATGGCTTACATCCAGTGACAGCTGCCGTGCATATAATTTAGAATTGCAACCCTAAGGAGGACCTGTATCACGTACGTAATTATTAGTTTGGTAGTAAGCATGTTGTTATGCCGCGTCCTACAAGAGAGTAACTGTTTTCGTAAGCATTCCACATGGACTTCATAATGTTAACCTTGCGCTTCTACTTACAGGTCGTGTACTTCACTGCCACTGCACCGTATCTCTTCATGTTCATCTTACTTGGGCGCGCTGTCACACTGGAAGGAGCCGTGGATGGGTTACGCCATTTCATCTCAGCGGATTGGGAGAAACTCATGGAATTTTCAGTAGGATCACAATCTTCTTTTCACTGGAGAATAAAAGGCACTGTTTTGCATACAAATCCGTTATACGCAACATACATTTGCTTAGCTAAATATATTTAAATCTATACGTGCATACACACACGCAAAGATATATATATATGTATATATGTATATATATAAAGATATATATATATATATATATATATATATATGCGACGGTGTACTGACCTAGGCCTCAGTGTCGACAATACATTGTTTTACTGTAGGCTTCTAATAAATTTTAAAGAATAATACTGTACGAAAAGCAATCCAGATTTAATTTGCTTCAACCAACCTCAGGGACTTTTAAAGCGCCTTAATTTAGTTCAATAAATGAGGACATGTTTTCTTCCCAACAATGCAAGGCACCCCTGCACAGGTCTGAGTTGGTGCCGCTAAACAACGACAACAATAAATCGTTTCTGAAAACAATGGCTGGACTGATCTAGTCGAAATCATGCGAAGTGTCCCCAAACTGAAAGTTGTGGTCTGGCATTCGAATTTTATGACTTGAAATTGTACACTTAATACTTTAGCATTGAACCAATTAGAAGATTATTTTACAAATCCATCAAACTGCTGGCAAAAACGTACAATGGGTAACTCACAGCTATCAAGACTTGTCTTTTACTGATGTTTCGATGTCACATTTATAAGTCTCCGGCTCACAGTAACGCAGGACTCACTAATGTGGGATGTCCCTGTCAACGGATAAGCGTTTTCTGACTCGCACCTTGGCAAAATGTAAATCCGGCGATGTTTTGAACTGTTAGATATTTGTCCTCCATTATGTTTTCTGGAAAACGGTCCTCGATAGTGACAACGCTCTATCCGAAGCACATTAGTAGGCAACTCTTTTAAGATCTTGTACCTCAACCTCTTACCATTGTCTGCGCACTACCAGGTTGTTCTCAAGTGGCGCAACAGTATCATCGTGTGGGACACACTACAGGAAGCCATGATCTGATCGAATCATACCTGGCCACAGGACGATGCTTACAGTGCTGTTTTCTCTCACCAGTGTTCGTACATTCATCCCTGTAAACTACGATAAGCATGATGGAGACGTGTTGAACCCGTTCGATCTTCTGTGCCGCCGCTCGGTATATTGGGCAGTATGCCACGGAGACGTACACTGGCATTGGTCTTACGGTGGAGAGTAAGATGAGGCATAGTGCGGAAGTTGCGCTTAGATTACTCAGTATGCGCACAGAGTTGCGTCACAACCTGTTGATGTTGTTTACGAAAAATATTGCAGCGTGAGAGAGAGCTTAGATACTGCAAGAAATGTGTGGAACACAATACTCGGAGGTGGTTGCTGTTGTTTAGGCTCTCACCATTCCGTGGGTGCTCAAATTGCTTACTAGGCTCGGTTGACCTGGTCGTGACATATACCCATGTAGAGGTTACTGAGTTCCTGCTAACGCGACGGAAGCCGTCAATAACGTTAAGCGATCTTTCATATTAATGTTCTTCGAAGAGCAAAAGGAGAAAGAGGAAGATGAAGCAGGTCGTTGAATTATATCAGCATCAGAGTGAGTCCTAGCACCGTGTCCTGTGATAGGCTACTGGTCGAGCGATACCAGTTGGTTAGATGTCCGTACTCTTCCGGTCAAGTCCGTAATCCTTGGTGCTGTATGCCATCAACTCCCGATAATTTCAGCTCGATGAGGAGAGCTTCAAAATTTACTTTACTGAAAGTTGGACTAAATTTAATGTAGACCACTTAGCTAAAATTCATCTTTTATCGTCTGCAACCATTCATGCTTGAACACGAGCATATGGGTGATGACTGAGCGATCAAATGTGAATTTGTATAGTGTGAGGCTCTAGTGATCTTTGGACTGGCACAGCTGTAGCAAGCCCTAGTTAGCAATCTTCACCACCTAGATATCAAACAAGTTGGCCTATGGCTGTCTACTTTGCTGCTATAGTCACCTATCAAAAACGGCTTCACAACCGAGCAATTCCAATAGCCTTAGGGCTAACGGTTATATCACAGTTATCATACCACTAAGCAAATTCATCACAATTTAATGCCTCACTAATTTTCATAGGTCTGACAGTTGGATATCTGGTTACTTTCATCACATGTGCGGAAGTCTTTAACCAACAGAAGGCAAAAACTGAGGTGTATCGACCTTTTAAGCGACAGCTATTGGCTGGGGGTGAATTATCAGTTCAATACTCAATGTTAAGATGCACCAATCTGGAGTCTGTCTAAGGCTAGTCTGTATACTGCATATCTAGTCTTTATGTGTTTATTGGCCAATATCACTATCCTGATGAAAAAACAGAAACTGTGTATGCCGGATAGTCGGTTGTGTATTCCAGTGAAGGTTCTAAAAAAGACGAGCGATTGAAATTGCCGATCAAATAGTCGTTCACCCGAATGGTTCATAAAAAGCTCGGAGCAAACAGTCTCTTTTTCACTTCAGGCTTTCGTAGGTCGTCGCGTTTTGACTTTTTCATGTTTACATGGATCGCTGGGTTATGTGATCCGGCGTAATGTGTTAAGTGAGTTCTCGAGACTCTGTGCACATAGATAATGTAGGATCAGAACTAACATGTACTAGGAGAACGTCCGAAATGTGGTCGTCATTTGGCTAAATGAAAACCTGATAAAAGCAAAAGGGTTGTTTTGTTTTACCGGTTTTGGAATGGTGACGTCCAATGTTACTTTCATGGTTTGTTTTTGACAGGTGTCAACGCGAATGATCAGTGTTGCTTACTTGTTGCTAAACCGTGATGTCACCACTCAAAAGTGGCTGCTGACCACTGAAGACTAATGTCGTTCATTTGCTGTTCTTAGGGCATAGCTCATTAACGGAGGCAGTCGGTTATCTTTGCGGGATTTCTGAAACCTTGATATCCCGTTTTATGATCAGTGTCAAACTTGGTTTGCCTACTCCACGTGAGAGTGCACGTATGTAGAGAAAGTTTTGAGGAAAATCGACAAATCGAAATGCCCAAAACGTCAACCTGTAAGCCCTACGTTTTGCAACTTCTTTGTTCGCCTGCTCTGGACGCTACGCTCTCATAGGTTCACACATCAAAAGCTTTTTTGTACGAACATTGTGAACTACCGCGTGTCAAGAATGATGCAGTCGACATTTATTTATGTCCAATTCATGGGGATTTGGAACTGAGTAGCTTTAAACCATGCAGATAGTCGCATTAAGACTGTATGTGGCGAAATGGCACGCTGATAAGTTGGCATACCTCGATGTCCTCAGGATGAAGCAAACAAAGTTAAGTAATTATGTTACCAGAACAATACTAATAAATCAAGAACAAACGGGGCACCAATTCTGAAACTTGTATTGCACTGTATTCGACCTGGATAGAATCCGATACTTAGTAACACTATTTTACCTTCAGAAAAACGTGCAGGATAAAGATGCTGATCCACCAGTGAACGGCATGATCCATGCCGTATTGCTAACGCTTGGAGGGTAGAATGTGATAGTCCTACCTATTGAATAAGCTAAAGAAGCTGAGGTAAACAACATCCACCGTTTCTACCTAACTGCCTTGTGCTAACGCTAGATTGATGGTGCAGCATCCATTCTGGGGGGAAAACGTGGTTGTTCTTGCGAGATGCAGCCAAATTCGTCCACCAAAGACATGAGCACGCCATAAATTATGGCTTCTATAAATTTTAAAGGCACTTGCAAAACGGGTACTAGACGGTGGTTTGCTGGATTGGAACCACTAACTCTTTCTTGAATTGGGGCCATTATTTTATGCCTCCACAAATTAGGTAGATGACTCTCATCAAGGCAGTGCTGGAAGAAGCGACCATAGATACAAATGCATTTGGCACTGATGCCTTCAAAACATCACCTGTGTTTGCTCCGGATACTAAACGAGTAATGCTGCGGTTGATGCTTGGCATCGTAACCATCGGTGCCATACTGAGCTAATAGTGGGCCCCATCCAAATTTGTTTGCTTTAATGTCTCATTTGCATGCCTCGGCCTGTTGCTAGTCTGTTACGTACACGAACAACGATAACTCTAGGTGATCAATCTTTGGTGTGGTGGCGAAACACTGAATCGGATATAAACATGTTTAGGTAGATAATGTCCTCCGGGTGGCTGTTAACAGTAGCTGCTATCTGATTTGAACGAGCCCGAGGCTGTGGCAAAGGCACGTTCTGTCTCTTATCTGCGAGTGATAAATCTTTTTACTCATTGAGGTTTAATTCCTTTGCTCTGTTCTTCGTCATGTTTTAATTATTAGTTTAACTACTAATTGTATGTTAATACCAGGACGACTAGCTACACTACTGCTCGGCATACCTAACATAACGAGTGAATTGGATGTCTATCAAGTTATACCTGAAACGGAAGCGAATTGCATCGTACCGTCATCTTAAATGTAGCAACAAAAGGCTCGTTACGGGCACTAACAATATGCATGGCAAAGCAAGCAAACGAAAGTATTTTACACTTATTTTCGTAGGTCACAAATGATAAGTTAAATCAACGGGGAAAATGTGAAGTAGGGGCAAACAGCTTACGGAAGCCACTCTGCGAACACCATAGTGAATAAATTGTGTCTAACCGCACCTTAATACTATGCTGGTGACCATCCCGCCTTTGTTCCAATTTTGAGTTTAGACCAACATTCACAGTAAGAAAGAGCATTAGTAAACTTGTAAAGCAATACATTGTGCAGCCATAGTAGTTTAGCGAGGTACACATGGGAAGACCATAACCAGGACGACGTGGTCATCAGTCATCCCAGTAAAAGCAAGATAGTCATATTGACGGCTTTGTTTATGTGAAACGATAGTGCGCTCCGCGATGCGGACTTATTCCTCTTGCAAGTTTACTACTCGATTTACCTTGCATTTATTGACGTTAAAATGCAATGTGATTTGGGTCGACCATTAATACACTGTACCTAAGTCAATCTGATGCGCATTTTGGTTGGCGTTTGCCTAGATCCTGCGCCAGATCTTGATATCGTCAGTAA